ATAGAGGGAGGTGGAGAGCCATGATCGCTTACATCCTGAAAGGACATGGCACATAAAAAGAAAGAAAAATGTATCAGTAACACATGTAGAGTGACCTGACATTTAACTTGTGTATCAATGAAAATGTATATTTGAAAAGTTGTCAAACCAGTATTTAGCTTCTTCATCAAGTTTAAAATTCCTAAAGATGAAAGAAGCAAAGAAGAAAAGATGCTAAGGAAATCATGGACGTGTGAATAATGATGAGATCTTAGAGAGGTTGCAAACAAGGAGGAGGCTTATACTTAATATCAGAAAGTGGCAGTTGAAGTTTCTGGGACACATAATGAGGAAGGAGGGCCTGGAAAGTCTGATACTCACAGGTCAAATAGATGGAAAGAGAGACAATGCATGACATACCTAGCGGATGACAAAACATGGTCTGGGGGAGGAAGTGGAGGGAAGGAACTTGATGAGAGCTGCAAGGGATAGGAAGAGGTAGAGAGCCATGATCGCTTACATCCTGAAAGGACATAGCACATAAAAAAGAAAGAAAACAATCTAAAGTTATCTTAATTTCTTACATGAAGCAGTGTCAATTATTAATGATTTCTGAAGTAGACTTTCTTTCATTCCTCAAGTATTATTTGCGCAAGTAATATTAAATATAGACTTATTTGGAGTTCTTAGATAAAACATTGTTATTAATACTAATTTTACATTACAGTAGGATTTTTTCATCCTATTTCTCTTGCTTTTAGACCTAGTAAAATAATCTTTAAGTTAATAAGTTAACTGAATTTCTTAGATGAACCATTGTCAATTATTATTAAATATATATATATATATATATATATATATATATATATATATATATATATATATTTATATCTTTTATTTTATTTATCTCAGATTATTTACACAAATAATATCATATGTAGTATTATTTGGAGTTCTTAGATAAAGCATTATCATTAATATTAATTTTTGACTTGTCTTAATTTCTTTTCAATTTTTGCTCTTCCATTGCAAATTTCAGATTGTCATTGTTCTAAACAGTGCAGCTTATGAATAAATGAATTGACAGTTGCAATAAAATGAAACAGAAATTAAAATATAAGAAATATTGGTCAATAATTAATAATAATTGTAATTTCTTCCTCTAATCAATTTGAATATTATTGCATTAAATACTAATCATGTCCTGAAAATCAACAGAAATAAGATGAAAGAAATTTGAATCAAAAACGAATAATTCCAAACTTATTCTTGTTCTGAAGAATCAAATTTCTTTATATTCCACTTAACTGTATTTTTATTTTTTTCTTGTCCTTTTAAAATCACTGCAATGTCCATCAGACAATTTCAAGCCATAAAAAATGAAATTAACTCTGCCAAACATGGCTGTTGGAAATCAATATTCAATTAACAAACTAGAATCATGGGTAATTTTATTAATATTTCAGGATTTATTCATATCAAAATATTGTTCTGAGGATGATACAGGGAAGCACGTAAAGAAATCTGTTCATTAATCAAATATTGATTGCTTATCAATATCCATATGATTACTACAACCATTTCCCATGTATTTTGAAAAGAAAGGAAAATAAAGGTGATTCTGAGAAATATCCTTAAGCAATGAAAATTGGATGAAAAAAATTAGTTTTGATATTTGTTTGATAATTCACAAATCTAGATGGATTTTGGAAAAAAACAAAAAACTATAATTGTTTCAGAAAAGAGAAAAGAAAGTTATTTTATGTTTTAAGATTTGAACTAATCATCATTTTAATTGAACCAAAAAACATTAAATTATTTTTTTTTCCCTTTCAATACACTTTGTTCATAAAGGTTTGTTACTGTGAATTTTCATTTTATATTTTCAATTGTGTTTCAGTCATTTTTTCCCTTCTATATACAAAAGAGTGAATACATAGTTTCTGGGATGAACTTGAAATGCCGGAGATAACCATACAAATTGAAAGACAATAAAAGCTTAAGCAAGATTAGTTAAGCAAACATCAAGAAGCAGATGACATTGAAAAAACACAATATGAACTGATAAAGTTTCAAACAAATTTCATATTAAGTAAAAATTGTCATAGAAAGAAACTCTGAAAAATCTCTTTTTTATTGCCTTGGATATTTTAAGGATGATGATGTAAAATATGAACTGGAATAACATTGCTTCATTTTATTTTATTTTAATGAAATTACACAAATGAAAACATTGATTTTAGAAAACATTGATTTTAGAAAACATTGATTTTAGAAAACAGTGATTTTAGAAAATAGTGATTTTAGAAAATAGTGATTTTAGAAAATAGTGATTTTTAACTTCTACTGCCTCTCTTGGTCAGCTATTACATACAAATGTAAATATAGATATACATATCTTTTTTTTTTGAATCAATTCACCCCAAGCAAGATAATAATGCCACTAAGATGCAAGGGGCTAGTGAGAATGAAAGAAAAGATTTTAGAAGGAACTAGAAACCCTATCCTAAACAGGAAATGTGGGAGGTGTGAGTTCAATACCTGGCCACAGCAGAGATGAACAAAAACTTGGAAAGTTGAGTTATTAAATGGAAATAACTGAAACGGAGATACCCAGAAAAGGCATGGCATGTGGAGCTAGAACAGTCTTCCCCAGTGGATGAAATAAAGGGTTTGGCTCGAAATTCCAACATATATCACCTGAAGAAGGCCGGAATGTACAACAACCGAAATGTTGTGAATATGTCGATAAAGTTGAGGACAACAATCTGAACAATGTAAATACTGTAAATAGTTACAATACCTCATCTCAGAAATATAGACAGTAAACAAGGAATAAACCTCTACTTCTTTTCAAAAGCCTAGAGAGGAGTGTGAACCAGAGGATAGGTGAACCCAATATTCAATGAATCTTTTAAACTAACCTCAATGTCACTTGAATCTTGGACCATACTCATTTGGCCTGAGACTTTGGTATAAATCTCTGTTTTTTTTCTTTTACAATGCAAGACCCAAGATCCACTCAAGGTAGAGGGTTACTGTGTGGAATTATATTAGTGTAGGAAAGATCAAGTGTTAGAAGTATAGAGCTGTAGCAGACTTTAGAAGGAACCAGAAACCCAATCCTAAACAGGAAATGATGGATAAACCTCTACTCCTGTTCAAAAAACCAGGAAGTAGTGTGAACCAGAGGATAGATGAATCTACCCTTTATTTGTCAATATCTATATATTTCTGATTTGTTCTATATCTCATTCTTCAAATATGCTTATATCTGTTTAGAAGCAGCTACCTGAATCTATTTATGTTTGCCTATCAAGGAATTCTCTTCTCTTGAAGAGCCTGATGAATGTACAAATCTTCAGTCATCATAAATTGGTATTGAAATCATCTCAGCCTTGCGTAATAAACATCTCCAAGATATTAGTCCTATTCTGTTCTTGAATCTCAATGATATCTTGGTCTTTCTGCTGTGGTATCTTAAAGTATAACAAATTTAAATCATCTTGATTTAAATTCATGACATTTATAATGTGCCAATGGCTTCATTTGTGAAATGTTTATAATAGATGTAAAGTTGCTCATGATATTATATAGATTGAATTTATGTATTTATTATTGAAAATATTTAATATATTATTTTCAAAATTATAACAAGGTGCTATGAAGAAGTTTTGTGAATTTGAATGGATTGATCAAATTGTTTATCTGTTAGTGAATGATTTCATATGTTTTACTAGACATTTCACACGTCTTTTCTAATCACACCATGAGAAAGTAAAGATCTTTTTTATATTTAAAGTAAGCCATTTCACACCTTAATTCCCAAAATGTTTGGGTTGCACCTTATATATAAACATACAAACCAACACGAGGAGGTGCAGAAAAGTTCTTGTCACAGCACATTTTTCAGCACCAGCTTATATACACATACACATACAGAATTCATGGAAAGGAATATCCTCAGTTCAGCTTGGATTGTTCAAAAATAAATTTTAGCTTATTTTGTCAAAGAAAATGTGTCAGATGAAAAAAAATGTTCTACCTTGTCATTAATTTTCCTTATATGTACATAAATAATAATAATAATAGTTGGTCACTTGTATTTGAGGATACCCATCTACTAGGGTTACTAGCCAATCCCTATTGCAGATTCTCGCTCAGACACATTTGTATTTGTTCAACACCCACAGAGCCAACTTGTGGTTTTACACTGCAACTATGCTGAGCAGACCTTAGTTACAGTTTCTGGGAGAGAATGATCAACAATCTGAACAACACCAGCATGCTCAAACCCTTGGTCACAATAACTTGTGACTTCATGCTAGCATAGCTATCCATAGCCCCCAAGAGTTCTATCTACCCAATTTCATTCATAAGGCTTGGGTCAATCCATGCTATGGTTTTCAGGCAATTTCCAAAGGTGCCACACATAGGGATTGTCCCTCCTCCAGACTGATAACATCAGGAAATTTCCTTCCTGAAAAATTGACCATGTTGAGATTTGAGCCTGGGTCTCATGGTCAGAAAACAAATGTTTTAACCATTCGGCCATGTGCCCATATATATATATATATATATATGGGTGCATAGCCAAATTAATGGTTCATGAATTAATGGTTTATATATATATATATATATATATGGGTGCATGGCCAAATTAATGGTTCGTGAATTAATGGTTTATATATATATAAAATTTTATCTTAGATAATTACCCAGTAATTTTAAAAGTTACTCAAAAATTCGCTTGATGATGAAATGGAACTAATGTCTTTAATTTAATTACAAAATTAAATTCGTAGCTTTTAGCTTCCATTTTTGAAACATGGTTAGAACTGTGTAGCGAAAAAAACCTTATTTTAAATAAATCAATTTATAATATATATATATATGTTTTATACATCTCATTTTTTCAATCCAGTTTTACATACATCATCTTTTTGTATCCAAGAAATTATAAAATATACTTATTTTTATTGTGAGTTAGCAAAGTTTTTTTTTTCAAAGTCTTTTAAAACCTAAATTCTTAAAAGGAGAAAAGTGATAGTTTTTGAGGAAAATATTTCAAACTTGTACTTACGATAGGCATGTACTGTTTTCACATCTACAACACTGTGCGGTCCTTTTCCAGCACCTGTACGGGCCCAGACATAGAATCTAAAGGAGTGATCCCTTTTTAGGCCTGTGATTCTGGCACCAAGTGTTGTAGGGCTGTTGATCTGAGGTTTCAAGAGTTCAATAGGACCAACCGATGTATGGGAATCAACTGACAAAAGAAAAAGGAAAAAATCAAGATAGTAAAAATTGCAAGAAAATAACAACAAAAAAGAAGTAAATAAAAAACAAATAGACAAAAATACAAAAGCCTGAACAGTTCTCATTCCCCTCTTGTCAGAGCTTTTTTGAGCCTGACTAATGTTTTCACTACCAAGGAAGGCTTATTAAAATTTACATCTAAATGTCTTAGAAGCTATATATATATATTAAGTCTTTCCAGCCCAACCTTTAAGAAGAAAGTGTTTTACATTTAAATGTTAGCCTTTGATGATTGTATATTTAATAAATATAGCATCCTGTCTTTGGTGCCTCCTATTTTATTTACTGCACATATTTTTCCATCCTTGATAGAGATCTGATGATAGGGGAATGAAAACCAGTCAAGCAATTTTTTTTATAGATATGACAGTGAATCCTAGACAATATCCTCAAAAATAAAGAGGAAACTTGCTGCAACAAAGATGTGGTTCTACAAGAAGGATTCTGAGAATACCATGAATGGAATACGTTAGTAATAAGGAAGTTTCAAGGAAATCTGTTTAGAATCTGAAAGAAGCAGTTGAAATTTCTGAGGAAATGAGGAAAGAAGGCTTAGATAATTTGACACTCACAGGATATATTGATGGCAAGAGGGGGCAGAGGGAATAATTGAGTCACATATCTAATGAGCTTGCAGGACAGGGACAGTAAGAGGTCAAACATTGCTTAGAGCTGCAAAAGATGTGAAGTCGTGGCGAGCCATGATCTTGCACTTCATGAAGGGACATGGCAAATAAAAGAAAGCTATATATTTGAATCATATGTATATGAGTTTTGTCTATATATTTAAATAATTTTGACCATCATTAGTCATTATTAAGAACAGAATGCTATAGTTTTAAAATTAAATAAAAGAAACATTTTTAAAATTAAACATTTTGTAAATTTTAAAACTATTCTGTTATTACTGCATAATTATATTTTTGTCTTTTTGTTGTAGCATCTTAAATGTTCTTCCACTTCTATGTGCTGTATCTGTTCAGGACACGGGTGACCATAGCTCTCTACAACTTCCTATCCTTTGTTGCTTTTAGTAAGGTTTGTTTTTACACTATCTCACCCACTCCCTGTTCTGCCATTCATTTCCAAATGCTTTTTATGTAGAGATATTTCCTTTGTCTTGACTTGTGAGTGTTAATTTCTGAAAGCTCTCTTTCCTTATTAAGTGTCTGAGAAATTTCAAATGCCTCTCTATGATTCCTTTTTGCTTCAATTATCCTTAAAAACCTCCTTGTTACTCACATTTGTTCTTCTGTAGAATCATATCTCAGTTGCCCCAAGTCTTTTCTTCATTTGGATTCATTGTCACAGAGGACTGATATTGCTTAGCATTCAGAAGACATCTTTTTTCTAACCCTAATACAAACTATGTGATAAATTTAAATCATTTGGATTCAAATTCACAACATTTATGATGTGCCATTGGCTCCATTTGTGAGATGTAAAGTTGCTCACGATATCATGTACATTGAATATATGTATTTATTATTAAATTAGCAATGTGAAGCCTTATCAGTACCTACATGGATAACTGCTTAGGAATCCCAGGTGCTGTAAGCTTCGATGTATTGCTGGTGTAATTGATAATGGCTCAAAATTGTTAGTTGGAGAGGCAAGTTCCAATTCTATTAGGTTTTGTTATATTCACTTATACACAAATATTCTTGGGAAAGGTATGAATCCACCTCTACTACCTCTAGCTATGGGTTAATTAGTAACACTTGTATCACTGAATCATTATTATCTCAAAAAAAATCCTTACAATCTAAAAATATTTTTTGGCTTTAAATAACCTGCAAAATGTTGATAAACCATAGAAAATTAATCAAGCAATTCATCAAATCTCCTTGTTGATGTACTACAGCAATAGGCAGAGTAAAGAGTGTCTGAAGGTAAACATGGATAATCAGTTTTCAAAAATAGTAATATAATGGCTTCTATATCAATATTATGTAGATTGAATTTATGTATTTATTATTGAAAATATTTAATATATTATTTTCCAAATTGTAACAAGGTGCTATGAAGAAGTTTTGTGAATTTGAATGGATTGATCAAATTGTTTATCTGTTAGTGAATGATTTCATGTTTTACTAGACATTTCACACATCTTTCTAATCACACCAAGAGAAAGTAAAGATCTTTTTTATATTTAAAGTAAGCCATTTCACACCTTAATTCCCAAAATGTTTGGGTTGCACCTTATATATAAACATACAAACCAACATGAGGAGGTGCAGAAAAGTTCTTGTCACAGCACATTTTTCAGCACCAGCTTATATTCCCATACACACTACATTTAATAGCATAAAGAATTCATAGAAAGAAATATCCCTATGTTAGCTTGGATTGTTCATAAATAAATTTTAGTTACCAATTGTCAAGGCAAAATATTCATTGATGGAAGGATCCTAGATTTGTACAAATTTTTGTGGATCAGTCTTCATAAACTTTCTTCCATGTTTCTTCAGCTCATGGCTCTCATGTGTTTTATATTGTAGTTTTGTTGAAGTTATATTTTGGAATACAGTTTGATTTCTTTAAGAAATTGTATGATATTTTATGTATTAATGTTATGGAAGAGTTTCTTTCATATTGGTTGGTTGATCTTGTTTAGCAGCATATCAACATGTCTATGGATTATTTAATACTGAAATGTAAATATTTTGAATGCAATTGCATGCCTTTATCATCATCATTATTTGACTGCAGTTGGGATCATTGAGCCAATGCAAATGATCCTTTCTTTATCTGTATAGTATGTGCTACACCAGGGCTATATACAGTTTTGAATTCAGAGTTTTCTTACTCCTAGATAGTTGCCACCCAAGGCTATAGAACCCAGTCTGCCCTGCTATCTACCTATAGCTGGGGATGAAAAAGAGGATTCATACTTTTTTCAAGGGTATTAACACATAAGTGAATGTAATGGATCTGACTGGAATTCAAACTCGGCTTTTCAATTTCTGAGCCACTATCTATTACTCCACTGTGCCTTCAACTACTTATAAAATGTATTATTGGCAATTTTTATTATAAATATGTATTGCTGGTAATTTTATTATAAATATATATTTTTATACTTTCATAGTGTTTTGTTTTAGTTTGGGAGTTCACTATTTGCCCATAGCTGGGACCCTAACAGCTGCTACTACCCTGGGTCAGGGTGGACCTGGGAACAACAGCAATTAAAAAGTGGTTCCATGCTCCACAAAATCTCCAATCTCCCAATCAAAAACCTTGTTTATTGTCATACCTAGGACTGACCTTAAATGAATAGGTTTATACCAACACATATAACACCTACGACAGATCATGTACCAACTATAAAATATACGTTTACCCTGAAAGTATAAAATTATGTACAAAATATTTGTAGTTGATGGCATATAATTGAATTTAAAAATTGTGTTTAAAATACATTTAGTTGAAGCCATAAAACTCTGTTCAAATTATTTAGATTTTGGCATTAAATAATCTATAGAGGTTGATATGTTATATCAGCGTAATCTATTCAGGCATGCAAAAGATATATTTGCTATCATTATGTGTTCAATGCACACACATATGATGCTTTAATCGAAGCTTCAAATACAACCTGTTCTTTAAGTAATTCCTTCTGAGAAACAAGCAAACTATATTCTTTGAAATATAGTTTACATATTATATACCTATATATATATTTTTAGAATTTGCTATATATACATATTTTTTTAGAATTTGCTATATATATAGATGTGTGTGTGTGTTTAGAATTTTATATAATATTATATATATATATATATATATATATATATAGGAATAATACCCAATATCACAGATAAAGTGTTTGTAGATGTGGACAGTGTCAATATAGGAATCAACACTGCATGGTGACACTCAGTTTCATGGAACAAGCAATTTTCTCATTGGACAATCAACATGCATTGTTAATTTCTATTCCTCCATGCACTCTCTTTCTCTCTCTCTCTCTCTCTCTCTTGAGAGAGATCATATGCCAGTAAATAAATTTGAGATATCAAAAGCAAGAATAATGATAATAATAATATTTTTTGTATATTATTAGGCCTTTACTCTGAATAGAAGAATGATGAGAAAAGGTGTTAAAAATCCAAATGTGGACAATCTTTCTCTACTATATATATATATATGTGTGTGTGATAGGAATAAACACTGCATGGTGGCTGTCAGTTTCATACCTCAATTTGATGTTCAGATCAACTAAGTTTTAAACAATACACACAATACATGAACTTTGGACATTTTATTCACAGCTTTCAGCACAATACTCAACTCATTTGAAAACTGGAAAAATATAATAAAAATTTTAACAAACTGACCTTGTTGGTTCTTTTTAATCAGACTCATTTGGATGAAAACTCTTATTTCATCTTTTAAGATGACTTCTTCATGTTAATATTGGTTTTATCATATATAAGATTCTATTGATGAATACCATTATTATGTTACCAAACAGCTTGTGTATTGTTATGATGGTTCAAAAAAAGTCTTACCTGATTGATATCCGATATCATAGCCTAGAAGCTTCCCATTAGGTTCTGTCGGTTGTGACCATTTCAAGAGAACAAATGTGGCACCATATGATTCTATTCTTAAGTCTTTTACTGGTCCTGGTTCTGAAAGATATCAAGCATTATTGAAACAAAATGCCATCACAATCATTTTAACCTGGAAAAAAAGAAATGTTTGAAATTGTCAAAATACTTAAATTTATTCAAACTATTTTCTCATTTTGGTTATTATTAATGTTATGCTATGTGTAGTTTCACTGGTTGTCTCAAATGCATCTGTTAGTAAAACCCTGGATGTACCCTTTGCTGAAATCTGAGTCATTCTGTTGATAGGTTTTTACTATAAAATCTGTAATATTCCCTAGGCCAAAGCTAATACACAACTGGAAGCTCTTAGCTTCAGCTTGAAATTTGACACCAGAATGCAGGAAGATGATATTACTAATTTTATAATAAAAAATTTTAACAAGGTATGGTAGGATGGAAAATAATTCATCACCCAAAAGGATGCAGAGATGCCTTTGGATTCTATTGAGACTGGAAATTGGATAATGGGGAGCTCCTGCCCATTTATAACAACAGTACTTCATTTACAAGAGAGAGCCTAACCTGATTCTTATAAAGGCATAATTTAGCTGGAAGAGTCAGGTACTTATTGGAGTGGTACAAGTAACTGATCATTTTTCCAGCATCTTGTATGTATGAGTTCCTCTTGAGGTCTGGGTTGAGCTTAAGTCCGAATAGGCAAATATTCAGTGTCCACACAGTGATGATGGCATCAGTGATAATATTATATCAAAACTTCAAAGTTTTAATTATAACAAAAAAACAGTTCTCTAAAGAAACAAACAAACCAAAAAAATCAACTTGCCCCCATTTCTAATGTAGATGCTTATATGCATGGCCTTCTGTAGTGAAAATGGCTGAGGTACCTTCAATGAAAAATTATCTTGAATTATTTTTAGTAGTACAGCGCATGTTATGATGAGCCCATGCCCGGTGTGTACTCCCCAAAACCAGGGAAGTGAGGCCCCAGGCAGTGCTTTATGACACGTTGTTATCTTATCAACATTTGCATTTTTCTACCTACATTTATATACATTACAAATTAAACTAAGCACAACTGACTATTAAAGGATGAAAGATATTCATGGATTTTGACATCATTCTGGGTTTTTTTTTTCATCCAAATCTGTGAATTTGTTTTGCTCATGCTAAGTCTCGAAAAAACACTATATAACATTCACTAATTTTTACCCATAATGTTGAATGTATTAAAATTATTCAACTTTTTCACAAGAAAAATCTCCAGTTGATGTTAAAAATTGCTGCAAAACATTGTTAATTTATTTCAGATGGAACAATCTATTTTTATTTAGAGACATTGTATTTATTCTCAATTTTTCTGGTTGAATTGTTCTCCTATATTGCATATGATCCATTATTGTACATAATTAAGTTACGATAAAATTGTATTTTATATGGATACAACCTCATGAAAATTGAGATACTAGTAGTGACTGTAGATGCAGTAGAGTGGGGGCCCCATGTCATAGATTTGAGATGAGCCATATTTTATTATCTAGCAAAATATATAACATATTGTCATAAGATCTTGATTAGTATCTGTCTATATTTCTGAAATGAGGTATTATGTACATTATTTAAATTATTTGGACTATTGTCCTCATCTTTGTTGCCATATTTATTACAACGTTTCAGCCATTGTACGCTCCAGACGTCTTCAGGTGGTTGGAATATTGAACTGAACCCTTTATTTCGCTCACTGAGGTAGACTGTTCTAGTTCCATGTGCCATGTTTAATGGATGTCAGTTATCAGTTATCTCCTGTTAATTTCCCTCTGAAAGTTCTCCACTGCCTTAACCGGGTATTGAACTCACACCCTTTGGGTCCTGTCACTGGATCCAACTAACGGCTTTATCCACTGTGCCATGGATAAATAAAGGGTTCAGTTCAACATTCTAACCACCTGAAGAAGGCTGGAGTGTACAATGGCCGAAATGTTATAAATATGGTGACAAAGATGAGGACAATAGTCCGAATAATGTAAATAATGTAGATCTTGATTAGTTTTAAAGGTTTATTGCTGAAAGTCTCATGTTAGTCTCGAAATATGGAGAGGTGTAAAACAATAATATCTAAACTAGTCATTAGCAAACTGTGGCTTTCTGACTTCATGAGGAATGTTTATTAAAATATTATTTGTTTCATTTTGTTCTCACTTGATCACTCACATGTTCTCACACAAGACTACATATATAACATTGATTAAGTATATTGTTTCTTGAATTTTGTAACCTTTCATTGATAATGTTTTCAGCATTTTAAACAATTGGTGATTTTCACTAAGGAAGATGATACATGTAAACATCTTTTGCTTTAGAAACAGAAAACATTTATAATGTTTTTCTCTGCAGAAGATATATATATTTTTTCTTTTAAAGAAATAAATTTTGTATTGTCAAATGGATAAATTAGTAACAAGTCACATGCAGCCATGTGTGTTAATCACACTATCATCAATAATTAAATCATACAGAGACTTCAATTTTTTAATTATAGAAAAAAACTTTCCCCCATTTCTAAGGTAGATGTTTATATGCATGGCCTTCTGTAGTGAAAATGGCTGAGATGCTCTCGATGAAACATTATCTTGAATTATTTTTAGTTGTACATCTAATGATGAACCATATCTCATGAGGTTCATTGGCTGAAAAAGGTTACCCATGCCTGATCCAAACACACTGTGTTTTGCCAGAAATACTATTTTATATTTTGTTTTGTTTATACTGTATATGTGACCTTGTATTTCTCTAAAGGTCTGCAATTTCTGTCACAAGACTATGGGACAAAAAGAAACGTAGCGGTCCATTCCTGTGACATATCAAGTGTTCTTTTCTAAAGAAAAAACATCAACTTTCCCCTCCATTTCAAAGGAGCTTTCTATAATAAAAATAACTTGTTGAGGGACCATCAATGGAATATTATCTTGAATTATTTTAGTAATTACAGATTACCTTCTGATGAGCTATATCTGATGTGGTCCACTAGTCAGAAAGTATTGCTCATACTGATTTAAATTACCCTATTCTAATTAAGATTTTGGAAATGACAAAATAACAATTTGTTGGACGAGATAAGCTTACATGAACATAACTTCTTTTTTTGTAACTTGTGACTTGTCAGGTACAGTATTTTGAAAGGTAAACAATTGTTTTTACTTACTTCCTTCAGGTGTGAAGAAGTCTACAACATTGCTTGGGTGTCCAACAAAATGTGTATTCATGACACACACTTGCGCTCGCATTGCTGTATAGGCTGGCAGGTTACTTATTGAAGCTCGGACTTCTTGTCCATGGTGATGGGTTCGATGATGGTGGTGATGGCCACCACCGACCCCATTGCGTTCGCTAGGGCCAATATAGATGTCTATTTCCTTCATTTCATTCCGTCCCTCACTTGCTTTCCAATATTGAAGCTGAAATTAATAAAAAAGAAAATAATTGATATTTGATGACAAATAAAATGTAACTGCTATCAAAAGAAAATGAAAGCATGATTATCTGCAAGAGTAATGGAGATATTAGCTGTTTCCATGCAGGAAACATTAGACATTTATTGGCCAAATAATGTGCATTTTTATTGGTTGAAATTCATGAAATCTTTTTCTTAAAATAGGTTTTCACAGAAATTGGCTTCTTAAGTCAACTGTTATTTTTCTTTCTAGTACAGGTGGGAATTTCTTTCCTAACCTTTTGTTTAAAGTAGTGTGGAAAGTTGATTATATCATTATTTTCTCCTTGAGTTATATATAAATAATAAATATTTACCAATACTTAAATTCTACCAAACTTAAATATAATGGTGAGATTAGCCATTTCCTTACAAGGAACATCTACATTCATTGACTAAAGAGTTAACATTACTACCGACTGAAATTTATAAAATCTTTCTTTTAAAATAGTTTTACACAAAAATAAACTTCTCAAGTCTACTGTTATAATTCTTGCTAGCTCTGATAGGAGTTTCCTTCCTAACCTTTTGTTTAAAGTTGTTTGGAAAGTTGAAATCTTGTAAGTCCAAGTAAAAAAATAATTAACACAAAACAATAAATATAAGACAAATAACAATGCATGTAAATAACAATGCATTAAAAGTATTACATGTGATAGAAGGAAAAAACATAAAACTAGCTATAATAAGAATGTTCTTGTTTGTGTGTGTGTGTGTGTGTGTGTGTGTGTTAGAGAGAGAGAGAGAGAGAGAGACAGAGAGTAAAAAGTCAATAGAGAAAACCATGAAATGAATGTGCCCCAGTAGGGGACACTTTACCCATATGTGAATACATCTGAAAGCCCAAGCTAAAAAACTGTAAAAGAGGCTAGGAAGAGAAATGCACACCTTTTTATAGGCTTAAGAAGAGTGATGGATTTTTTAGCAAAGTCAAGTGAGACAACTCACAAAGAACTGATGAAAGACTTCTTTAAGACTTATAGGATTCATCTGCTTGAAGCTATGGTGGTTTTAGTAAAAACTTTCCCCTATGAATATCAGCCTTAATATTTCTTGAAATTCTTTTTGTGGTACTGTGGACTACAAAATATGAGTAGCTTTTGAACTTGGTCTTAGATAGAATTTAGTGTCTACTTGATGACCACTTTTGTAATTTATTTTTAATGACATGCTGGCAGTATTTACTTCTTCACATGGAGAATTAACTTTATCATTGTTTGCACTAATTTTACAAAATTCTAGAATTATATATGATATTAATTTAGGATTTATAAAATTCCATGGTGCATATTTGTCATTTTTGCAGAGAATACAAAATAATTTAAACCTTCTAACAACCATAAAGAAAACATATTCACAGCTTTTAAAGTGATTATACATTAGAAAATGGCTGTATAGGAATTTATAAATATTAAAAGGCTGTATACAACTTTTCCAGAATGTCTTTGTATCTTAGGAAGAAAACACAAATTTGCATATTTTGATAACCTTGAATAAAACAAATCATATCATTTACAGTTTAGGTAAAATAGAATCATCTAATCCTTATGTATACTTAAATCATATAATTAGATTATGTGCTCTGCTTTCGTTTGGCCACTTGTAAAACTTTTTTTAAATGCATCATCTTCTGTTGTCAACTGATTATATTGCAAAAAATGCACAAGGGACATTGATCACTGTTTTTATTGAAAATCTGTTGATTTAGTATGGGAATATAAAACAATTCATACTGTGTCATTGATATATGCTACTAAATAAAGAAACAGGCAAAATGGGTGTTGAAAAGTTTTCAGATCAAGAAGGGATTGAAAAAGAAGTTCTGATATTTGGTCAGATTTTTGGGATGTGGGCTGGGCTGAAAACTCTTTGACACCTTCTGAGAGATTATCTGCAGGTAAGCATTAGTGAAATTTGTATTGACAAGCAAATTAATGATAAAATGCACCAAGAGAAGAACATGAGATTGAGAGTTTTACAAAAAAAAAAGCGGAAAAAAGAAAAAGATTCTAAAAGATGAGTAAAGCTAAAAAAAACTTTCATCAAAGAATATTTTTTTACATGCTTTCTTTTCCCCATTTATCTGCCAGTAAGAATCCTTAATTCCTTGTCTACACCTCAAGAAACCATTCCTGACATGTATGTCAAGATGTGTTTTGCTGAAGCAATGCAACAATGCCATTCTTCCTTAAAAGAAAATAAGGTAAATTAAAAAAAAAATCACATTGCTAAAACATGACTTCTTAAGGACATCAGTGCCAATACAGACACAATCAACACCTTACACAAGATGATAGAAAAAAAAAAAACAAAACAAAAAACAAACAAATCCCCAAAAAGTCAATACAATGTGTAGATAAGGAAAAGAATAGTGGGGGTTGTATGAGTCAGCTTCTACCCTCTTTCATGTTTGCTTTGCTAGAGAGACAATCGAGAAATCGTGTGATTGATTAGCACCAAGGATGATATGCAATCAACACTAACAATCTATGACAGTATTGCTTTTGTCTGGCTCTCCCCATCTCAGTGGAAGGTAGTGAGGGAAAGAATGGTGTGGGTGAGAGTAGACAATCAATGGGTACACTAATATACCTTAATTGTACTTGAGACTGCAGAAACTAAGAGATGAACTAACTTGATGGCTGCCTGTTCAGTGCTTAACTATTTCCCAGAGAAATCAAAGCAGCTGCTACTGATGCAGGCATTGAATACTTATACAGTGCTTACAGTACTGAGTGCTCTTTAAATGAGACCTTGTGGCAAACTTGGTGATGTTCAAATAAATGAAAACTATTCTATATCATATATCCAAATATATTTGCTATATAAATGGAATTATTGTTTTGTGTTGGTTAAATTTTTCTAAAACTGACATTTTGAATTTCACTTACAAATAATTATATAACTTCTGTGCTAATGCTCTTGGAAAGGCATGAACCCAAATCTCCCTGATTTACAGCCATATAACTTTGAAACACAGGTTCCTGTATGATCACCAAAGTTAAGCAATGTGAAGCCTTATAAGTACCTAGATGGGTAACTGCTTGGGAATCCCAGGTGCTGTAAGCTTGGATGTATTGCTGGTGTAATGGATAATGGCTCAAAATTGTTAGTTGGAGTATTCCAATTCCATTATGGTTTGTTATATTCACTTATACACAAATATTCTTGGGAAAGGTATGAATCCACCTCTACTACCTCTAGCTATGGGTTAATTAGTAACACTTGTATCACTGAATCATTATTATCTCAAAAAAATCCTTACAATCTAAAAATATTTTTTGGCTTTAAATAACCTACAAAATGTTGATAAACCATAGAAAATTAATCAAGCAATTCATCAAATCTCCTTGTTGATGTACTACAGCAATAGGCAGAGTAAAGAGTGTCTGAAAGTAAACATGGATAATCAGTTTTCAAAAATAGTAATATAATGGCTTCTATATCAATATTATATAGATTGAATTTATGTATTTATTATTGAAAATATTTAATATATTATTTTCCAAATTGTAACAAGGTGCTATGAAGTAGTTTTGTGAATTTGAATGGATTGATCAAATTGTTTATCTGTTAGTGAATGATTTCATATGTTTTACTAGACATTTCACACATCTTTCTAATCACACCATGAGAAAGTAAAGATCTTTTTTATATTTAAAGTAAGCCATTTCACACCTTAATTCCCAAAATGTTTGGGTTGCACCTTATATATAAACATACAAACCAACATGAGGAGGTGCAGAAAAGTTCTTGTCACAGCACATTTTTCAGCACCAGCTTATATTCCCATACACACTACATTTAATAGCATAAAGAATTCATAGAAAGAAATATCCCTATGTTAGCTTGGATTGTTCATAAATAAATTTTAGTTACCAATTGTCAAGGCAAAATATTCTTTGATGGAAGGATCCTAGATTTGCACAAATTTTTGTGGATCAGTCTTCATAAACCTTCTTCTTCTATAGAGTGCAATGGATACATTGTTGCCATTTTATATTTTAATTTTGTGCATCCACATTGTTTTTGATTTTGTCAACTACACAGTATAGTATGGTTAGTTGTGCACCATCTTTGAGAAAAAGAGTAACATGCCACAATTCACTTCACCAGAAACTTGGAAATTGGCATGTTGGCATTCATGTCAGAAGCTCCAATATCAACATTTCAGAGTGTTTAGGTGTTAATCTGAGGATGGTGCAGAGGATTTGGAAAGAGTTGGATGAGTCCAATGGTGATTACGAAGGTGTTTAGTAATGGTGACATTATGCCTCCATTCATCTGTCCATAGTAATTATGAAGGTATAGATGCTTGGAAAACTTACTCTGATCATTCTCATAAGAAAAGAACTACCTAATTTGTTGGTGAGGGCCTCAGATTCAACACAGAGGCCTACATCAAGTGCCTTGTGGAGATAGTGCTGCCCTGGGTCATGATGGTGGCTGCTTGAAGACCTATATCTGGCAACTGGATTCTGCACCATGCCACACAAGCAGGAAAACCCAGTCATGGCTGTCAGACAATTTCTGTGACCACCTCTTACATCTGGCCACCTAACTTCCCAGACTGCAACCCCCTTGATTAGTATGTGTGGGGTGCAGTTGAGCAAAGGACCAACAAAACTTCATGTAACACCAAAGATGAACTGAAGGCAAAGATTCACCAACTTAAACAAATATACCATCCAGAAGAGATGCAGGAGATTCTAAAGTAATCTGGAGGCCACGGTTGAAAACAGACAATTTTATTGAATAAATTTACTCTTTAGTATTTCAAGAATATTTGTGTGTAATTGTAGTAAATGAGATGTCAGTATTATTTTCATTTTTGCATGATTTAGATAACAACCCTGTATTATCACAAAATAGTAACATAATGGCTGCTATATCTCTTGTCACAATCTAGTAATGTAATGGCTGCTATATCTATTATCACAAAGTAGTGACATAATAGCTGCAATATCTACTATCAGAACTGCAAAATAGAAACCATTGATACTCTACCACTGATAGATATTTCTAAAGAATTAATGGATTTTCTATTTTTGATCTGATATATGTATATAAAGGGTGTTCCAATAACTTGGACCAATTTTAAATGTGAATTAAGTTTAAACGTCTAATGATTTTTTTCTTTTTCTTTCAAATTTGGCGGACATTTCGGCGATATTATTTTTCACCCTTAATTGGCATGACTTAAATAACATGATCCAATAGAGAAATAATTAAATTTTCACAAATAACACTGATTTATTTACTGTTGACTTTGATCTGTCTTAATGAAACACCCTTTATATTAGGTGCATTTGGGCAGTAATTTCTTATGTATGGTAGCTTTACTAATTGGACAATATATGCATATATATGTATTTATGTAAGTTTTGTTCATGGCCAATGTAAATTCTTTATGATATATTTATGGCTCAGATCATTTCTCTGGTTTTCAGAGAGAGTTTGTCCAATTGGTAAAACCTACATAAATGCTAAATTGCAGACAAACTAATCCTTTATATATATATATATATATATATATATATATATAAATGTAAAAGAACAGAACGAAAAGAATATAAATTCAAACATTCGTACATTAAAAAAGGGATCAATACAAGAGTATATATATATATATATATATATATGTGTATTTATATATATATATATTAAAAACGATAGACATTTTTGTTGATTATTTTTAATGATTGACTTTTCCAAGTTCCATATAATCCTTCTCAAACATAGAGGAAATTCAGTAAAAAAAGTACAGGAAATATGTTCCAAGCATTCAACTTCCTCATCATCAGCTTAGGTAGAGACAATTGGTGAATTTTGCAAAATTTTGATAATTTTGATAGTATTTGCCTTAAAGAACACTTGCTGCCTAAATACATGGCTGGTGAATCCTACCCACAACTGGAAGGTAGGAGGCTTTGTCTTTTGTGCCTTGTTTTTTTTTAAAATGTGTTATTGATAGTGGATACAAACTTGTGGAGTGGGTAGTCGCAATGCTAAGATTGAATTTTTGAAAATGTAAATTTAATTTAAATTTTTGTATAAATGATTCATTATAATATAAATTGAACTGCATCACATATTTGATTTAAAAGAACTGATCTGACGTGCAAATTTTTTGTATAACAACTGAGACATTACTCTATTTATTGAACTATTTAATTCATGCCACATTGACTGATAAACTTATACAACAAAAAATTCTCAAATTACCATATTAGTAAAAAACGCACTCACTTAAATTTTCAAAAATTCAACTTTAGCATTGCAACTGCATGCTCCACAAGTTTTCATCTGTTATCAATAACACATTTCAAAAAGACATATTTTGATTTGGATTATTTTTTCATCTCATATGCTACATAAATTTTACCAAAAACAAAATAGTTTCCATGCCAGATGATGACTGGTAGAACTGTTGAAAGTACTTGCATATTTAAGGAAGACCTAATGCAGTTTATAATTTTAAAAAACAGGGATCATAACATTCATTGAATGATTACTAGGTTAATGCATTGTTAAAATTTTGTTAGCAAAGAGATTTCATCATTTTATATCATTAACTTTACTAATTTACTTTTTGCATGAATGATTCATTGTAATATAAATTAAACTGCACAATATATTTGATATATATATATATATATATATATATATGTATATTAAAGACATATTTTTGTATTATGATTGTTGCCAAGTAAAAGATTTTAGATACAATTCAAACTTTTGAAATGCAACAGGATATATGTTGCTTCTTTGTTGTGGCAAAAAGTTCTTCAGTTGTTTGGTATTATTTACGTTTTTGTTTTCCTGAATTCTTAAGTTGTTTAGCTGAGAACAATTTTCAGCCAGCAGCTTCCTTTTCATAATCCGGAATCTCACTTAATCATGTGTCTGCAGAATTTTGCAAGATGAAGTGTGTGGATGCTCGGAAGTTCAGTAATCAAGCAACCAAATAGCTTGGCTTATGTTTCAAAGCTGGTTACAAGGAGAACAAAAGTCTTTCAAAATTGTGTGTGAAAAATTGTCAAAGATTCCTTTTTCTTCCCTCTCTTGGTGCCAAGAGACAAAAGTGTTGGCGTGGCAATAGAAAGATCTGTTTAGAATTTCCCAAAAATGGGGAATAAAAAGAAAGGAATAAAAACAACGAAGTATGCAATCTTAAGTATCTAAAAAATCTATAAAATCTCTCTCTCACTCTCTCTCTATCTATCTATCTATCTATCTGTTATATTTATATGTATTAATATTATATATATTATAACAGGTTTTAAATATATAAATAAATATACAAAATTATATTATATATATATATATATATATATTATATAGATATACAAAATTATATGATATATATTCAATATTATATATATATATATATATATATATATATATATATATATATAATAATATATATATATACAAAATTATATGATATATATTCAATATTATATATATATATAATATTATATGCATATACAAAATTATATGATATAGATTCAATACTAGCAGTAGAGCCCGGGGATGTAACAGTAAGAGATAGATCAAGTATCGACCATCATAAAGACTGAAAAATAAAATTGACAAAGATTATTGCTTAAGATTGACGGACACGCATGTCTTAATTAGTTTGTTTGTTTTTTTTTTTTTTTTTTTTTTACGAATTGGTAAAACCCAAACTCAAAGAAAAACATTGTTTTCAATCATTATGAGTCTACCGATTGAATAGAATTTTATTATTAACAATTAATTATTAATTTTATTATTGTCTTGTAAATGGAATTTTTAAAGCATTCTGAATGTAAAAATAAAGAAAAAAGTGTGCAAGACAATAAGAAACACTACCTGCCAAAAAAAGTGAAGTTTTGTTGAAATCGGTTGAAAAATGTAGGAAATCCGATCCCATATATAAATGAACACACACACACACACACAACAACAACCAACCAACCAACCAACCAACCAACCTTGGTTTTATAATAAGTATAACTTGATAACGTGATATTAATAAGTATAACTCGATAGGAGTTGTCCCCCTTTCATTAATGCTTCTTA